TCCATGAAGAAGCATACTATATACGATTATATTGCTGGAACCAAGGGGGTGAACTTTGCATATGAACGGAGGGAGAGAAGCTGTAGGATATTTCTGCACATAAGTACCATGATGTGGGGTGTTCTTACCAAACGGCAGTGATGTGCCTGGAAGGAAAGAAATATCACTACTGGGGCTCAGTTACCACTTGCCTAGCATGCATGAGGCCCTGGGTTTGATTCCTCAGCATCACAGACACAGAAAAGGCTGGAAGTGGTGGTGTGGCTCAAGAGTGCTAGCCCTGAGCAAAAGAAGCTCAGGGACAGTGCCTAGGCCCTGAGTTCAAACCCCAGGACTTGGCGGGCCCTGTTGGCTTTGAACCGCGATCCTCAGATCTCAGCCTCCTGAGTAGCTAGGACCACAGGCCTGAGCCACGGGCGCGGTGGCTTTCTTCCTGGTTTTGCATCTGGGAGACCTGGGGGAGACTCTTGGACACGTCTGATGGCTTCTCAGCTAGACAGCTCTCCGTGCTGGAGTTGCGTCCAGGTACGACCGAGTGCTGGGAAAAGCACTGGGCAGCTGGAGTGTGGCTGGGGCTTGGCCGAGTCTGTGAGATCCTCAGGGTAGAGAGGAGCGGGCTGCTGCGGGAGGACGGTGCACAGGGCTTCCTGCAGCCCCGGCCTCCGTGCCAGGACTGGGAGCCGCTTTCTTTCTTTCTTTCTTATGTTCTTTATTTTAGATTTTTCCCTGGGTTTTCTCGGGTGACTTGGTGGCTGCAATTGTGCTGTTGTTGTGGTTGTTTTGGGGGGGTGGGGTGAGGGCGGCGACCCGGCCCTGGGGCTGCAGGGTGGGGGTGCGCCGGCCGGGCCCCGCGGCTCCCCGCACCGGGCCGGCCCGGCTTTCCCAGGGTCCCCCGCAGGGTCCCGGGCCGGGCGGGCGGAGGGTGGGCCGGGACCCCGCGAGGCCGGCGGGGGGCGGGGCGCGCGGGGCCGCCGGCCCCGGGGCGGGGCGAGCGGCCGGGGCGGGGGCGGGGCGGCCCGGGCCGGCTCACTCGGGCGAAGTTGGCGGCACGGAGGCTGGCCCGGGACTCGCCCGGAGCCCGCAGCCCGAGGGAGGCGGGAGGAGGCAGGGTCGCGGGCGGCCGCCGTGGGCCGGGGCCCGATGTCCCCGCCGCCGCCGCCCGTGCGGGCGCTGCCGCCGCCGCTGCTGCTGCTGCCGCTGCTGCTGCTGGCGGGGCCGGGGGCTGCAGGTGAGGGGCCGGGGTCCCCGGGCGCGGGGGGCGCGGGGGCCGCCACGTCCGGGGCTGGCGGGGGGCCTGGAAACCACCGATCCGCGCGGAGGGGGGCGCGCAGGTCCCGGGGTGCAGAGCGGGACCCCTGAGGTGGCAGAGCGGGGTGCAGGGCCCGCGATCCCGGGGCTGGGGCGGCGCGGGGGGCGCAGCCAGCGGGCGCGAACTTTCTCTTCTTTTTGGGGGGGAGCAGCGTGTGCCCCAAGATCCCGGAGACCGGCGTCCGCGCGCCCGGGCCGCAGCCGCGGAGGGCGGTGGTCGGGGTCCCCGCGGCGCCCCCCGCCCGGCCCCGGCACAAAGCCCCCTCCCCCGCGGCGGGCGGGGCGCGGGGGCGCGCGGGGCGCGGGGGGCGCGAACCGCTCCCAGCGCCGGGCTGGGGAAAACTTCCCAGGCCCGGGCGCCGCAAGACCCGGGGCGGAGCGCAGCGGAGCGGAGCGGAGGGGAGCGGAGGGGAGGGGAGGGGAGCGGCGGGGAGGGGAGCGGAGGGGAGGGGAGGGGAGCGGCGGGGAGGGGAGCGGAGCGGAGCGGAGGGGAGCGGAGGGGAGGGGAGCGGAGGGGAGGGGAGCGGAGCGGAGCGGAGGGGAGCGGAGGGGAGGGGAGCGGAGGGGAGCGGAGGGGAGCGGAGGGGAGGGGAGCGGAGGGGAGGGGAGCGGAGGGGAGGGGAGGGGAGCGGAGGGGAGGGGAGCGGAGGGGAGAGGAGGGGAGGGGAGGGGAGCGGAGGGGAGGGGAGCGGAGGGGAGCGGAGCGGAGGGGAGAGGAGGGGAGGGGAGGGGAGCGGAGGGGAGGGGAGCGGAGGGGAGAGGAGGGGAGGGGGAGCGGAGGGGAGGGGAGGGGAGCGGAGGGGAGGGGAGCGGAGGGGGAGGGGAGCGGAGGGGAGAGGAGGGGAGGGGAGGGGAGGGGCGGGGAGGGGAGCGGAGGGGAGAGGAGGGGAGGGGAGGGGAGCGGAGGGGAGGGGAGCGGAGGGGAGAGGAGGGGAGGGGAGCGCCGGGGAGGGGAGGGGAGGGGCGGGGAGGGGAGGGGCGGGGAGGGGAGTGGAGGGGCGGGGAGGGGAGGGGCGGGGAGGGGAGTGGAGGGGCGGGGAGGGGAGTGGAGGGGAGGGGAGTGGAGGGGCGGGGAGGGGAGTGGAGGGGAGGGGAGTGGAAGGGAGGGGAGGGGAGGGGAGGGGAGTGGAAGGGAGGGGAGGGGAGGGGAGGGGAGTGGAGGGGAGCGGAGGGGAGAGGAGGGGAGGGGAGGGGAGTGGAAGGGAGGGGAGGGGAAGGGAGGGGAGGGGAGTGGAGGGGAGGGGAGTGGAAGGGAGGGGAGGGGAGCGGAGGGGAGCGGAGGGGAGGGGAGGGGAGTGGAAGGGAGGGGAGGGGAGGGGAGCGGAGGGGAGCGGAGGGGAGGGGAGGGGAGTGGAAGGGAGTGGAGGGGAGGGGAGCGGAGGGGAGGGGAGTGGAGGGGAGGGGAGGGGAGGGGAGTGGAGGGGAGCGGAGGGGCGGGGAGGGGAGCGGAGCGGAGGGGCGGGGAGCCGGGCCGCCCCTGCCCCCGCGCCCCCGCCCCGCCTGCGCCCCCTCCCCGGCCGCTGCCCCGGACCCCGCCACCCCTGTGCGGGGACCGGAAGGGGCGAGGGCCGCGCGCCCTCCCCCGCCCCTCCCCGCTGGCCGGCCCCCTCCCTCCCCTCCCGGCCCCTCCCCCGCCCGGGACAATGGCCGCCGTCTAGACGCCCCCTCCCCCCGCCGTGCGCCTCGCGCTTTTCTTCGCCAGACAAAGCGGGACCCGCGCGGCCGGCCGGGCCCGAGTGGGGGCGGCAGGGGCGCCGCGACCCCCGACCCCGGACCGCGCGGGGCGGGGCGGCGGCCGGGCCGGGGTGGGGGGGGGGCGCACTGTCACACCCGCGTGCGCACAGCACACACCGCGCGCGCACACCAGGCCTCCACGCCAAGGCCGTGCACGCGCAGCCTGCACACGCACACGTGGAGCTAGACTCCAGGACAGCCCGACACACACGTGTGCATGCACACAGCTACACTCCAGGACAGCCCGACACACACGTGTGCATGCACACAGCTACACTCCAGGACTGCCCGACACACACGTGTGCATGCACACAGCTACACTCCAGGACTGCCCGACACACACGTGTGCATGCACACAGCTACACTCCAGGACTGCCCGACACACGTGTGCATGCACACAGCTACACGCCAGGACTGCCCGACACACACGTGTGCATGCACACAGCTACACTCCAGGACTGCCTGACACATGTGCATGCACGTACAGCTAGACTCCAGGACACACCTGACACAAGTGTGCACACACAGCCCTATTCTCAGATCACACTGTTGCAGAGGACATGACAGACACACGCAGATGCACACACGTGTGGGTCCCACGGCCCACAGTTAATGGGGCTCACTCCTCATCCTCAGTGTGTGTTCACAAACACCCAAAGGCTTATCCAGGTTGTAGTGTCCACACTTGCCTCAAGAGGAAGGGACGCAAGCTATGCTGGATCTCTCTGTCTGTCTCTGTCTCTCTGTCTCTCTCAGAGTCTTTTATGTCGTTCTGCCTCTTCTCTCTGTCTCGTGTCTGCTTGTCTGTCTGACAGACGGCAGCCTCACACCCACCCACAGCCCTTCACCAGCTCAGTCGTGGCCGCACCCCTCCCGCCTGGCAGGACAGTTAGACTGCACTACCCCTCCCCCCGGGGGGGATGGGCACACTGGACAGGGAAGCTCATGTCTCGGCTGGCTGCCCCTCCCTCCCAGTGCTGCACCCCAACATGGCACTCCTAGCTGCTCTCCCTCTCCTGGGGGCACGGCTCTCCCAGAAGCTGGCACTGAGGCTGGCCTGGATGGGGCACCTGCCCAGCACCCCAGCATTCCCGGTCCCAAGATGACCTCTCTTTATTTATATTTATTTATTTGTTTGTTTTTGTGCCCATCGCTCCTGAAGCTTGAATTCAGGGTCTAGGGAGCTGCCTCTCAGCTTTTTCCCCCCCGTCCTGGGGCTTGACCTCACGGCCTGGCGCTGTCCCTGGGCTTCAAGGCTAGTGCTCTATCACGTGAGCCACAGCGCCACTTCTGACTTTTTCTGCGATTGTGGTACTAAGGAATCGAACCCAGGGCTTCGCTCTACCACGGAGCTCCTTCCCAGCCCCCCAGCTTTCATTTTAATTCCAGGCTAGCTCTCTACCTCCTGAGCCAAAGCTTCACTTCCAGCCTTTTTTTTTTTTTTTTTTCTTTTGGCTGGTGAATTGGAGATAAGAGTTAGTTGGATGCAGTTTACTGCTCCTGCCTTCCCAGCCTCGAACGGCGATCCTCAAGATCGCAGCCTCCTGAGTGGCTGAGATGACAGGCCGGAGCCGCCAGCAATCCCCACTGTGATGCCCCTCAGGTCCCCATCTCCTCCCTACCCTGTACTTCCTGGAGCCCCCACCTCTGGGCCCAGCCGGCCCCTCCCTCTTCCCACCCCTGCCTTGTAGTTCCCAGGGCTCAGGCTGGCAGGGCCAGGGGCAGCTGCAGCCCAGCAGCTGGAGCCGGGCGGCGGAGGAGCCGTGGGAACTGGAGATGGGGGGGTGGCCTCTGTGCACCCACAGAGACCCCCCTCCACCCCCAGATCCGTGCAGCTGTCGCCTGGCAGAGAAGAGAGACAGACAGAAGGAGGAAGGGCGGGCGGTCGCTTTGGTTTGGGGTGCCTCCGTGCTTTGGCTAACTCAGCTCCCCTTACCTTTCTCCACTCCCCCCCATAGCGCCCCCTTGCCTGGATGGAAGCCCGTGTGCGAATGGAGGTCGCTGCACCCAGCTGCCCTCGGGCGGAGCCGCCTGCCTGTGAGTGCCCGGCTGTCTTCCCGGCCGCCTCCGTGGGTGTGCGTGGGGCGGGCATGTGTCTTCCTGTGTCTTCACCCACGTGCAGGGTTTGCTTTTTCGCAGCCGCTTCCGTGTGTGTGGCTTGGGTGGCTTCTCATGATTCCCCACCGGGAATGAAGTAGGGTGAAGAATGGGGGCGAGGGGGTGGGGGTGGTGTGTGCGTGTGTGTGTTCTGGAGTTGGTCTGGCCCCAGGTTCAAATCCCACACGGTGGCTAACCAGCTAGGAATAAACCCTCTAAGTCGCAGTATCCTCCTCAGAAAATGAAGACCACTTTTTTCTTTTCTTTTTCTTTTTGCCGGTCCTGGGGCTTGACTTCAGGGCCTGGGCGCTGTCCCTGAGCCTCTCTGTGTTCAAGGCCAGCACTCTACCACTTGAGCCACAGCACCACTTGCACTTTTTCTGAGTGGTTCATTGGAGATCAGAGTCTTACAGACTTTCCTGCCCGGACTGGCTTTGAACCACGATCGTCAGATCTCAGCCTCCAGAGTAGCTAGGATGACAGGCGTCTGCAGCTAGGCCTGCATCCGGTCCGGGTAACTGATGCAGTAACTGACTCAGTAAAGCCTTCTGGGGGAGGGGGGGGAGTCAGCCATGCCTCAGACCTCAGGATTGAGTGCTAGAGGCCTTTAATCCAGCTCAGCCTACCACTTTCTGTCTGTGTGACCCTGGGCTAGTTACTTGACCTCTCCAAACTTCACGGCATCTGGGAAGTGGGAGAGTTTCTTCCTGCAGGATTCCCAACCATAACAATAATACCAGGAAAGGGAGAAGGTTGGGGTTTCCAGGCAGGTTCCAGGAGAAAGTCAAGAGGAGGCAGAGGGAGCTGAGTTTTCATTCTGGGCTCCTGGCCTCCTTGGGCAAGTGCATGGAGCTTTCTGGTGGTGGTGGTGGTGGTGGTGGTGTGTGTACTTGTACTGGGACTTGAACTCAAGGCCTAGCTACTGTCCCTGAGCTTTTTGGCTCAAGGCTGGTGTTTTACCACTTGAGCCACAGCCCCACTTCCAGCTTTTTGGGGATTAATTGGTGAGGAGTCTTCATGGAGTTTCCTGCCCTGGGTTGGCTTCCAAATCAGGATCCTCAGACCTCAGCCTCCTGAGTAGCTGGGGTTCCAGGGGTGAGTGCCAGGTGCCAGGTTTGGCCTAGCCATAGGAAAACGAGAGGGGAACAGGACATGGTCGGGGTGAGGGGAACCCTCTGGAGAGTGTATTGTTCTTGGGGGTGGGGGGGCTCGCTTGGCTTCCGCCAGCCGTGGCCACGGCCCCGGTACCCACATCACTGTTTCATTCCCGTGTTCCCTCTCTCAACACTATGTTTACCAGACACAAGACACTGGGGGGCTGGGTGGATTTAGGGGTGACTTTAGACCCAGAGAATGGGGCGCACGTGTGCCCTTTGGCCTAGGCCTGAGCCCCCTTGGGTTCACCTGTTGGGATCTGAGGCTCAGGCCGCACCCTCGATGGGGGGGGGGGGGTCCGGGCCCAGCGCCCGCGCCTGCGCAGTGCGGCTCTGCGCCTGGCCCGCGGCCCCGACAGGTGAACGCGCCCCGCCCCGCGGACAGGTGAATCACCGGCGCCGGCGGACGCCCGGATCCCGGATCGGCCCCGCGGCGGAGCGGACTGCGGGGTTCCGGGGGCTCCCCGAGCTCCCACGCACCCCGCACCCCCCAAAAAGGCTTCCTTGAAACTTGCGCTGCGCGGGCTCCTCCCCGCGGCCCCCTCCGCACGGCGCCCCCGGGGGCTCCCGCACCCCGCACCCCGCACCCCCAACCGAAGCCCGGGCCGCGGGGCGCGGCGGGGCGGGGCGCGGCCGGCGCTGGAACCGGCCCGACCGGTCGGCGGGGCGCGGGCGTGGGAACCGCCGGGGGCGCGGGAGGGGGCGGAGCGACCCGCGGGCCCGGCCCCGCCTCGACTTGTCTCCCGGGGTGGAGGGGGGGCTGGGGGTGATGCGGGGAAACTGAGTCACCTGCTGGCGTTTCTGGGACAGGCGGGGGGGGGGGGGGACCTGGACGCCAGGGGGAGGGGGACGGGGAGGGGGGCGGGGATGGGGGCGGGGAGGGGGGCGGGGGGACCCCTGGATCTTTGCACTTCCCCCATCTCCCTCCACCACACCCAGGGTTGTCAGCTCAACTCTTATTTTCTTTTTGACGGGGCCTGGGGCTTGAACTCGGGGCCTGGGCGCGGCCCCTGGGCTTGCTTTTTGTTTTTTAAGCAAAAATTGGAGATAAAGAGTAGAGGGTTGGGCAGGTGGCTCCGTGGTAGAGGCCCTGGGTTCGATTCCTCAGCACCACAGAAGCAGAAAAAGCCGGAAGTGGCGCTGTGGCTCTCGGGGTAGAGCGCTGGCCTTGAGCACAGAGGCTCAGGGACGGCGCCCAGGCCCTGAGTTCAAGCCCCAGGACCCGCAATAAAAAAGTCCTGCCCTGTCTGGCTTCAACCCTGCAGCCCCAGAACTCAGCCCCTCGAGTAGTTGAGATTACAGGTGTGAGCCGCTGGTGCTGGCACGTTTTCTTTTCTTTTTTTCTCAATGTGCTTGTAGCTATAGGTTCTGGGATGAAGAAATACCTTTTGGGGGGGATGCCACGCTAGGCTGGTGGCACCCACCGCTGGTGTGTTGTGTATTAATCCCTGGCTTGTTTATATTCTCTTTGCCTGGCCTGTCTGTGAGGACCGAGTTGGTAAGAACCATGTTCGTTGTGTTACCATGTAGTAGATGCACAGTACATATTTGTTGTGAGAATGTGTGCGTGTGTGTGTGCGTGTGTGTGTGCGTGCATGTGTGTGTGTGTGTGTGTGCGCGCGCGCTGACCCATTGGCCAGTCTTGGGGCTTGAACTCAGGGAACTCTCCGACTTTCCTGTCCAGGCTGTCTGGGAACCAAGATCCTCGGATCTCAGCCTCCCTGAGTAGCTAAGACTACAGGCGTGCCCACCAGTGCCCAGCCTGGCTGTGTCTTGTGTGTGTGTGTGTGTGTCTCTCTGTGGCAGGGGCCACTTTGCCTCGTGCTGCCCCTCCCATGCCGCCTCTGCCCGCAGGTGCCCTCCCGGCTGGGTGGGTGAGCGGTGTGAGCTGGAAAACCCCTGTCACTCGGGCCCCTGTGCCGGCCGTGGTGTTTGCCAGAGCTCCGTGGTGGCGGGCGCCGCCCGGTTCTCCTGCCGATGTCCCCGCGGCTTCCGAGGTGAGGGGCCGGGGGCCAGCTGGCCTGCGGGGGACCCCGGGGCCGGCCGGGGTGTGGATGTCACCCGCTCACTGTCATGCTGGTCCCTGCAGGTCCCGATTGCTCCCTGCCCGACCCCTGTCTCAGCGGCCCGTGCGCCCACGGCGGCCGCTGCTCGGTGGGCTCCGATGGCCGCTTCGTCTGCTCCTGCCCGCCTGGCTACCAGGGCCGGAGCTGCCGGAGCGACGTGGATGAGTGCCGGGCGGGGGGGCCCTGCCGGAACGGGGGCACCTGCCTGAACACCCCGGGCTCCTTCCGCTGCCAGTGTCCGGCCGGCCACATGGGGCCTCTGTGCGAGAGCCCCGCGCTGCCCTGCGCCCCGTCCCCCTGCCGGAACGGGGGCACCTGCCGCCAGGGCGGGGGCCTCACCTACGACTGTGCCTGCCTTCCTGGTGAGCGGGCTGTGTGCCCGGGGCAGGGGCAGCAGGGGGGGCAGGCCGACCTCCTAGTGACCACCTCCCCCTGCCCCCCCCCATGCCAGGCTTCGAGGGCCAGCACTGCGAGGCGAACGTCGATGACTGTCCGGGACATCGGTGTCTGAATGGGGGGACGTGCGTGGACGGTGTCAACACCTACAACTGCCAGTGTCCTCCCGAGTGGACAGGTGGGCATCAGGGGCTGGCAAGGAGCTGGGGGGGCGGACCTGCACGCACGCACGTGTGAGCGCACACACACACACACACACACATGCCAAAGGCGTCCGTCCGTGCGCCCGCCGCAGGTCAGTTTTGCACGGAGGACGTGGACGAGTGCCAGCTCCAGCCCAATGCGTGCCACCACGGGGGCACGTGCTTCAACACGCTGGGGGGGCACAGCTGCGTGTGCGTCAACGGCTGGACAGGCGAGAGCTGCAGCCAGAACATCGACGACTGTGCCACGGCCGTGTGCTTCCACGGGGCCACCTGCCACGACCGCGTGGCCTCCTTCTACTGCGCCTGCCCCATGGGCAAAACCGGTGAGTCATTGCTTTCAGTTTTGGTTGGTCGGTGGTGGGGCTTGAACTCTGGGCCTGGGCGCTGTCCCTCAGCTCTTCAGCTCAAGGCCAGCGCTCTACCCCTTGAGCCACAGCGCCACGTCCAGTTTTCTGGTGGTTCATTGGAGATCAGAGTCTCACGGTCTTTTCTGCCTGGGCTGGCTTTGAACCGCGACCCTCAGATCGCAGCCTCCTGAGTAGCTAGGTTGACAGGTGTGAGCCACAGAGCCCGGCTAGTGACTGTTCTTTTGAGTCGATGAAAGAACACGACCCTGATTTAGAAAGATTATATTGGTGTGCGGGTTGGAGGGGCGGGGTGCAACTTAGTAGCAAATGTATGCCTAGCATGCATCAGGCCCTGGGTTCAATCTCCAGAACCAGGGAAAGAAGGGCTGGGTGTGGTGGCTGATGCCTGTAACTCCAGCTAGTGGGAGGCTAGATCAGGAGGCTAACGGTTTCATTCGAGGCCAGTTCACTGCAACAAAGTGAGCAAGGCAGGGCTGGCGAGGTGGCGAGGTGGTAGCATGCTTGCCTAGCATGCATGAAGCCCTGGGTTCCATTCCTCAGCACCACACGAATAGAAAAAGCCAGAAGTGGGCTGGGAAGGTGGCTCAGTGGTAGAGCACTTGCCTTGCATGCATGAGGCCCTGGGTTCCATTCCTCAGCACCACACGAATAGAAAAAGCCAGAAGTGGGCTGGGAAGGTGGCTCAGTGGTAGAGCACTTGCCTTGCATGCATGAGGCCCTGGGTTCGATTCCCCAGCACCACATAAGCAGAAAAAAGCCAGAAGTGGCGCTGTGGCTCAAGTGGTAGAGCGCTGGCCTTGAGCTGAAGAGCTGAGGGACAGCGCCCAGGCCCAGAGTTCAGGCCCCACGACCGGACCCCCCCTCCAAAAAAAAAAGAAACAAAAAGCCAGAAGTGGCGCTGTGGCTCAAGTGGTAGAGTGCTAGCCTTGAGCAAAAGTTGTTCAGGGACAATGTCCAGGCCCTGAGTTCAAGCTCCAGGACTGGCGGAAAATAAAAAATAAAAAAAAAGTGAGGAAGGCCCTCATCTCAACAAATAAACTGGGTGTAGTTTGTGCTTGTAGACTCAGCTAAATTGGAGGTACAAGACTTGTGATCTGAGGCTGCCCGTGCCAAAGAAAATAATCCATGAGAGCCAGGCACTGGTGGCTCACACCTGTCATCCCAGCTACTCAGGAGGCTGAGACCTAAGTAAGGATCGTGGTTTGAAGCCAGCCCGGGCAGAAAAGTTCCTGTGAGGAAAGTTTCCTGTGGGAAAGTTCCTCCCATAATCACTGAAAAACTAGGTTTGAGAGCACGACCAAAAAAATAAAAATTAAATTAAAAAAATCCATGAGACTCTGTCCCAAACAAAAACCACTACTGTAAGAAGGCAAAAGAGGGCTCAGGAAGGCGGCTCGTGGTTCAAGTGGTAGAGTACTTACCTAGCAAGGGCCTCAGTTCAAACCCCATTAATGCCTATTGAAAAAAAAAAAGAAAAACAAAAGTAAGGAGAGAGGGAGGGAGGTTGTGCCGGAGGCTGGATTTGGGGTGAAAGGTGAGCCTAGGAGAGTCTGTGAGAGGAGGCTGCGGCACACTGTCCAAGGCAGAGATGATTGGAATGAGGAACTAAGGGTTGGTGTGAGCAGAGACAGAGAGCTCTAGGAAACAGCCAAGGCCAGAGAAGGCACTTCATGGAGCCCAGCATGCCTGGCCCAGGGCAGAGCAGAAGCGGAGGCTTGGAGTAGGACTCTTATATAATTGGAAGAGTCCACAAATTTCAAAACGGTGTACGTTTCCTACTTACTTTCAAATGGCTTAGGAAAAAGAAAGAAGATTAGCAGATGAACAATAGTTGCCCTTAAATAGTGGGTATAGCAAGGATCAGTTTTCCTATAGGTTTGAAGTTATATATAAAATAAATAGAAAGAATGCCCCACCTGCTAAATATACTGAAAAAACAACAGCAGAACAAAGGGTTATTCTCTTTCTTTCTTTCTTTTTTGGTCAGTCGTGGGGCTTGAACTCTGGGCATGGGCGCTGTGCCTCAGCTCTTCAGCTCAAAGCGAGTGCTCTCCCGCTTGAGCCACAGCGCCACTTCTGGTTGTCTGGTGATTCATTGGAGATAAGAGTCTCAAGGACTTTCCTGCCTCAACCGGCTTTGAAAAGTGATCCTCAGATCTCAGTCTTCTGAGTAGTTAGGGTAGCTAGGGAGTAGTTAGGGTAGCTAGGGAGTAGTTAGGGTAGTTAGGATTTTGGGCTATTTCTTTTTGTGCTGGAACTGGGCCTTGAATCAGAACCTAGTGCTTTCACTTATATTTTTTTCTTTTTGGCTCGGGGCTAGCACTCTACCCTTAAGCCACTTCTCCACTTCCAGCTTCTTGATGGTTAATGGAGATCAGGGTTTTCACTCTGCCTGGCCGGCTTCAGACCTCAACCCTTAGATCTCAGCCTCCTAAGAGGTTACGATTCCCGGTGTGAGCGACCAGCGCCCTGCTGGAAGTGTAGCTAGCTGGTAGAGCTCATCCCTAGCCTGGCCTGGGACCTGGCGGCCTTTGACCTCTCCCCCTTCCTTTTCCCAGGCCTCCTCTGCCACCTGGACGACGCCTGCGTCAGCAACCCCTGTCACGACGACGCCATCTGCGACACCAACCCCGTGAACGGCCGGGCCATCTGCACCTGTCCGCCGGGCTTCACGGGTGGGGCGTGCGACCAGGACGTGGACGAGTGCTCCATTGGTGAGGGTGACACCGCGCAGGACGGGGGGGGGGGCAGGGGAGGGGCGGCCCGCCGGCCACGCCCAGCCATGCTGGCTTGTGCCCTCCTGCGCAGGTGCCAACCCGTGTGAACATCTCGGGCGGTGCGTGAACACCCAGGGCTCGTTCCTGTGCCAGTGCGGCCGGGGCTACACGGGGCCTCGCTGCGAGACCGACGTCAACGAGTGCCTGTCCGGGCCCTGCCGAAACCAGGCCACCTGCCTGGATCGCATCGGACAGTTCACCTGCATCTGCATGGCAGGTGCGTGGTGGGCGTGGCTAGGGCAGAGCCAGAGGGTGGGCGTGGCCAGGGCGGAGCCAGAGGTTAGGGCGGGGCCTAGACAGCCATAGGGTAAACCAGGCCACCTGCCTGGATCGCATTGGACAGTTCACCTGCATCTGCATGACAGGCGTGTGGTGGGCGTGACTAGTGGAGCCATAGCATGGGGGCGTGGCCAGAGGGCATGGGAGGAGCCAGAGGTTAGGGCGGGGCCTAGACAGCCGTGTGTCTAGATTGTATTGGCCAGTTCACCTGCACCTGGAGTGCATCACCTGCATTTGTGTGGCTGGTGCGTTGTGGGCGTGGCTGGGGCGGGGCCAGAGGCTGGGGCGGGGCCTAAACAGCCGTAGGGTGAACCAGGCCACGTGTTTGGATTGCATTGGCCAGTTCAACTGCATGCCTGGGGTGTGTTGTGGGCGTGGTCAGAGGTTGGGGCGTAGCCTGGATTGCCAAGGGGATGGGATTTAGTATAGAGACCCTTGATTGGGTGGGATTTTGCTCAGTGATTGAGCATGCGCATTTACCTCGGAGGAAGGCTTGGATTGACTACTCAGTACCGATTACCCCTTCCCCCCTCAAAAAGAAGAGACTGGAACCTTCGGTGAGGTGGTGACAGGGTCAGAGCACAGTCTTTGCAGTTGGCCGCCAGTGACCCACAGCTGTGATCACAGCTACTCAGGATGCTGGGATTTGAGGATGACTGTTCAAAGCCAGCTCAGGCATCGAAGTCCCAGAAAATCTTATTTCCAATTAACCACCAAAAATACTTGGAAGTAGACCTACAGTTCAAGGGATGGAGCGCCAGCCTTGAGTGCAAAAACGAATGGACAGCATCCGGCTGGAGGATATGCACCGTCAAAAGAAATGAATCTGTAAAAGCTCAGATTATCTGGCAGTGACTTGAGGCCTCATTTTGGGCAGGGAAAGGGGGATGGACCCTAGGAAGATGGAGAGTGGGGCTATAATAGGAGTCTGCAGACAGGGTTGCACTTAAATTGGGGTTGTGTACTGGGCTTTAGTGGGCCCTGGGGTTTGGTAGGGCGTAGCTTGAGGACTGCAAAGAAGTGGTAGAGATGAAAGCAAAGCCCATATGGTACTTGGTCCAGTCAAGGTATTACCATACAGTAGATCTGAGACTTGTGGTTCAAAGCCACCTGTGCAGAAAAATCCGTAAGACTCTTATTTCCAACTAACCACTAGAAAACCGGAAGTGGCGCTGTGGTAGAGCACTAGCCTTGAGCAGAAAAAGATCAGAGACAGTGCCCAAGACTCTCAACCAACGAAAACAAACCAAACCAAAATAAAACTGAACCAGGGGCTGGGAAGGTGGCTCAGTGGTAGAGTGCTTGCCTTGCATGCATGAGGGCCTGGGTTCAATTCCTCAACACCACATAAGCAGAAAAAGCTGGAAGTGGCACTGTGGCTCAAGTGGTAGAGCGCTAGCCTTGAGCTGAAGAGCTGAGGGACAGCGCCCAGGCCCAGAGTTCAAGCCCCATGATCGACAAAAAATAAAAATAAAATAAAAATAAATAAAAACCCCAAACCAAACCCCCTCAATCAGGTTGATCTGCAGAAGGGCCCCAAAAGCTCATGAGATCTGTCTATGTGCAGAGAGAGCCAGAGTACCCCCAGGTAGCCCTAATTCCCTCCCTTCCCCTCTCCCCAGGCTTCACAGGAACCTATTGTGAAGTGGACATCGATGAGTGTCAGAGCAGCCCATGTGTCAACGGGGGCGTCTGCAAAGATCGAGTGAACGGCTTCAGCTGCACCTGCCCCTCAGGTGAGGAGCCTGGGACGGGAGCTGACGCAGACAGGCTTGAGCTGGTTGTCCTTGACTCACACCGCCATCCTCGCTACTCAGGAGGCTGAGAGCTGAGGACCAGCGTGGTCCAAAGTCGGCCTGGGGTAGGGAAGCCAGTGAATTCTTCTCTCCAACGAACCACCAGAAAAGCCAGAAGCGGGGATGTGCTTCAATGGTAGTGCACCAGCCTTGAGCAAAAAAAGCTCAGGGACAGTGCCCAGATGCTGAGTTCAAGTTCTTGGACCAGGACACGCGCGTGCGCGTGTAAACACCCCCTCCCCTCCCACAGAGATGGTTCTGTGCAATCAAAAGCTCCAGGACCCAAACCTGTAAGATCATGTTGGTACCTTATAATAGAAACCACGTGTTCTGAGGCGTTAAAGGTGTGCACCCAACCAGGCAGGGCTCTGTGAGGGGTGACAGCCCTGCGAGCGGCTCTCCCACTCCACACCCCAGGTTTCAGTGGGTCTATGTGTCAGCTGGACGTGGATGAGTGTGCAAGCACGCCCTGCCGGAATGGCGCCAAGTGCGTGGACCAACCCGATGGCTACGAGTGTCGCTGTGCCGAGGGTGAGGAAGGGCCAATGACAGCCTAGCAGGAATCTGGGGGCGGGCCTAGCAGCGGAGACAGCCAATGATAGGCTTGGGGAGAAACTGGGGAGGTGGGGTTTCTGCAAGGTGAGACCAAGGGCCGGAGCCAATGACAATTGCTGTGGGGGAAGGTGGAGCTCAAGATGGAAACAGGCTGAGGTTGAGACTAAAGGCAGAGCCAAAAGGTCTGGCAGGGAATAGGGCGCATGAACATGCCACATGGGCCTACTTTCCGGTCAGCTTCCATCTCCAGGAGTGGGTGGGCCTTAAGACTGGGCGTGGCCATAAATGGGAGTGGCCTGTTCCAGGGGCGGAGCTTGGAGCTAGATGGAAGGGGAAGGAGGAGGAGGCTGCAAGTGTGTGGGCGGGACCTTGAACGGAGCCCGCCCAATAACGGGTCCCCGTGCGTAGGCCAGGATTGGTGGAGGCCACCGTGGTGGGTGGGAACCTTAGCAAGGGGGCGGAGCCTGAGCCTCCCCCGCCCCGCCCCCAGGCTTCGAGGGGACCCTGTGTGAGCACAATGTGGACGACTGCTCCCCTGACCCGTGCCACCACGGGCGCTGCGTGGATGGCATCGCCAGCTTCTCGTGTGCCTGTGCCCCCGGCTACACGGGCACACGCTGCGAGAGCCAGGTGGACGAGTGCCGCAGCCAGCCCTGCCGCCACGGGGGCAAATGCCTGGACCTGGTGGATAAATACCTCTGCCGCTGTCCTCCTGGCACCACAGGTGAGGCGGGGCCCGGGTCGGGGCCATGCCGGGCCTAGGCCGGGGCGCTACACCAGGAAGGGAGGGAAGGGGACACGGGGTTTGGAAATGCCGGCTGCACCTCAGTGGCGGCCACGCCTCGCCCCTTGGTCCCCTCCGGCAGGTGTGAACTGCGAGGTGAACGTCGACGATTGTGCCAGCAACCCCTGCACCTTCGGGGTCTGCCGGGATGGGATCAACGGCTACGACTGTGTCTGCCGGCCGGGCTTCACCGGTGGGTCCGGGATGGAGGGGTGAGGGCCATCTCCCCGGGTTCCTCCTCATGCGTTTCCCCCAGCTTATTTTTTATTTGTTCGTTTGTTTACGTATTTATTTTTGTGCCATACTGGGGGTTGAACTCAGGGGTTGTTTTCCTTTAGCTTTTTTTTCCCCACTACCACTTGAGCCACACCTCCAGGTACTGCTTTTTGCAGGGTGATTGGAGAAAAGAGTGAGTGTCGTAGGCCGGGTGCTGGTGGCTTATGCCTGTGGTAATCCGAGCTATTCAGAAGGCTGAGATCAGAGGATCGCAGTTCGAAGCCAGCCTGGGCCAGGAAAGTCCCTGAGACTCTATCTCAGTGAACCACCAGAAAGCGGGAAGTGGAGCTGTGACTCGTGGTAGAGTGCTCACCTTGAGTAGAAAAGCTCAGGGACAGCGCCCAGGTCCTGAGTTCAAACCCCACAACGGACAAAAAAAAAAAAAAAGGGAGGGGAAGGGGGGAATAGGAAAAGGGAAGGGGGGGAAGGGGGGAGGCCTCACAGAGTTTCCTGCCCTGGTTGCCTTCAAACTTTGATCCTTGGATCTCAGCCTTCTGAGTAGCTGGGCTTACACCTGTGCTTAGATACATCTCTTTTGTTGTTGTTGGTCATGGGGCTTGAACTCTGGGCCTGGGCGCTGTCCCTCAGCTCTTCAGCTTGAGCCACAGCGCCACTTCCAGATTTCTAGTGGTTCATTGGAGGTAAGAGTTTCACGGACTTCCCTGCCGGGGCCGGCTTTGAACCGTGATCCTCAGATCTGAGCCTCCTGAGTAGCTAGGACGACAGGCATGAGCCACCGGCGCCCGGCTCATCTCTATCTTTACAAACACGGTTCCCCCAATCCTGGTTGGCTCGACCATCCTTGTCCCGGGATGAGGTTGCCTACCACATGTTTCCCAGGGCCCCTCTGTAACGTGGAGATCAACGAATGCACATCCAACCCGTGTGGCGAGGGAGGCTCCTGCGTGGATGGAGAAAATGGCTTCCACTGCCTGTGTCCCCCTGGCTCCTTGCCCCCACTTTGCCTCCCTCCCAGCCATCACTGTGCCCAGGAGCCCTGCAAACATGGCGTCTGCCATGATGTACCTGATGGGTGAGCCTCTGCCCCCAACTCCCAACCCTGTTGCTTATGATCTCTGGCTGTTGTAAGCCTCTGACCGCCATTCCCTTCCAGGTTCCGCTGTGTGTGCGAGGCTGGCTGGACCGGCCCCCGCTGCGGCCAGAGCCTGGCTCCAGATGCCTGTGAGTCCCAGCCCTGCCGGGCTGGGGGTACGTGCACCAGCGAAGGACGCGGGTTCCGGTGCACCTGCCCTCCCGGAGTGCAGGGTGCGTATCCTTGCCCCGTTCTTCTGCATTCACCTTTTCTTTTTGTGTGTGGACATGCTGGTACTGGCTTCAAACTCGAGGCCTCAGCCGAGCACAGATGGCTCACACCTGTCATCCTAGCTACTCAGGAGGCTGAGATCTGAGGATCACAGTTCAAAGCCAGCCTGGGCAGGAAAGTCCATGAGACTCTTATCTCCAAGGAACCACCAGAAGACCCGAAGTGGTGCTGTGGCTCACCTTGAGCTGAAGAGCTGAGGACAGCGCCCAGGCCCAGAGTTCAAGCGCCTTCACTCTTGCTTGTTAGCCTTTATTTTATTTTTTTTTTGTCGGTCGTGGGGCTTGAACTCTGGGCCTGGGTGCTGTCCCTCAGCTCTTCAGCTCAAGGCGAGCGCTCTACCACTTGAGCTACAGCGCCACTTCCGGTTTTCTGGTGGTTTATTGGAGATAGGAGTCTCACGGTCTTTCCTGCCCGGGCTGGCTTTGAACCGCGATCCTCAGATCTCAGCCTCCTGAGTAGCTAGGATTACAGGCGTGAGCTACCAGCACCCGGCAGCCTTTATTTTTTAAAACTCAAGGCTGGCACTCCACTACTTGAGCCACAGCTCCACTTCCAGTTTTTGGTAGTTCATAAGAATCTCACAAACGTTCCTGTCCAGGCTGGGTTTGAACTTCAGTCTTCAGATCTCAGCCTCCTGAGTAGCTAGGATGACAGGCTTGAGCCACTGGTGGCCAGTGAACGCTCTCTCTCTCTCTCTCTTCTTTTCCCTTTTTCTCCTAAGGAGTTCCCCAGGGAAGGAGGTATCAAAGTGGGGACCGCAGAGAGTGGGGGGACATGGGAATGAGGAATCCTCCCAGACTGTCTCACTCTGTCTGTGTTCTCTCCCACAGGCCGTCAGTGTGAGGTGCTGTCCCCGTGCACCCCGAATCCCTGTGAGCATGGGGGCCGCTGTGAGATGGGTCCTGGCCAGCTGATTGTGTGCTCCTGCCCCTCAGGCTGGCAAGGTGTGCCAGCTCCTCCTCCTCCTCCTCTTCCTCCTCCTCTCCTCTGCTGCTTTGCATCCTCCTTTTGCCCTGTGGTCCCGGCTGGCCTTGGAGACCTTCCTGCCTCAGCTTCCCAAGTGCTGGGATTACAGATTCTAGGCACACAATGGCGCCACAGCTCTATTTAGGACTCATTTTGGAAGTTTATAGAAGAGTCTCAAGGACTTTCCCACCTGGGCTGGCTTAGAACCTCCATCCTCAGGATGACCAGCATGAGCCACCAGTGTACGGCTTCATGAGACTTTTATTTCCAACTAACCAGCAAAAAACTGGAAGTGGTAGAGCATCAACCAAACGTAGTGCTCAAAGCCCTGAGTTCAAGTCCCAGGCAAGGCCAGCACAAAAACTAAATCACAGCTGGACGCTGGGGGCTCACGCCTGTCATCCAGCTATCAGGAGGCTGAGATCTGAGGATCACCATTCAAAGCCAGCCTGGGAAGGAAAGGCTGTGAGACTCTTATCTCCAATAAACCACTCAGAAAACTGGAAGTGGTGCTGTGGCTCAAGTGGTAGAGCGCTCGCCTTAAGCTGAATTACTGAGGGACAGAGTTCAAGCCCCACCAGACAAACAAACAAAAAAACTAAATCACAAAGAAAGAAAAGCAGGCAGAGGGAGATATTCTGGAATGGTTTTCTCTGAGCCTCAGGCCTCAGATTCCCAACACCAGTAACCCCCCTCCCCCCCCCCATCCTCATGCTATCTTGCTTCCTACCCTCAGGTGTCCGATGCCAGCAAGACGTGGATGAGTGTGCCGGCCCGGCGCCCTGCGGACCCCGGGGCATCTGTACCAATCTGGCGGGCAGTTTCAGCTGTACTTGCCTTGGGGGCTACACGGGTCCTTCCTGTGACCAGGACATTGATGACTGTGACCCCAGTGAGTCAGTCTGGGGAGCGTGGTGTGGGAGCACATACCCATCAGGCCCATTGGGGCGCCTACTGCATGAGCTTTCCTTCCTCTTTGAAATTCTTTGCTTTCCCTCCTTTTCCTCCTATGGAAACTGAGGCCCAGGGCAGTTAAGGGGCCAGCCCGAGGTCAGATCTGAAGGGGTTGAGCCAGACTTGAAGCACAGGCTCTGGGTGATGCCTGTGAGCTGATTTAGGCAGTGAATTAGTACTATAGGAAGTGTGAGGTATAAGGCCTGAGTACTGAGATCCCTTCCCTTCCCTTCCCTTCTTCTTCTTCCTTCCTTCCTACCTTCCTTCCTCTCTCCCTCCCTCTCTCTCTTCCTCCCTTCATTCCTTCTTCCCTCCCTCCCTCTTTTCCTCCCTCCCCTCCCTTCCTCCCTCCCTTCCTTCCTCCCCTCCCTCCCTTCCTTCCTCCCTCCCTCCCTCCCTTTCTCCCTCCCTCCCTCCCTCCCTCTCTCCTTCCTTCCTTCCTCCCTCCCTCCCTCCCTCCCTCCCTCCTTCCCTCCTTCCTTCCTTCCTTCCTTCCTTCCTTCCTTTTTCTTTCCTTCCAACTGGAGCTTGACCTCAGGGGCTTAAGCTCTCACTTGGCTTTTTCACTCAAGGCTGGCGTTCTACCACCTTAGCCACAGCTCCTCTTCCACTTTTGTGCTGGCTAATAGGGACCAAATATCTCTGGGACTTGTCTTCCCATGCCTCCTAAGAAGCTAGGATGAAAGGCATGCGCCACCTGTGCCCAGCTCCAGTTGCATTTTTCAGTATTTTCCAGCAATTGATACTGAACCTGAGGATCCACGCAGAGGTTTGATTATCTTCACTGGGCAGCTCAAGGGAGCCCCCCCCCCTTCCACATAGGCAGAATTTCCTGATAAGGGAGGCAAGGACCACCAAAAGCCACAGAATTATGGCTGGGAAGGTGGCTCAGTGGTAGAGTGCTTGCCTTGCATGCATGAGGCCCTGGGTTCCATTCCTCAACACCACATAAGCAAAAAGAGAAAAGCCGGAAGTGGCCCTGTGGCTCAAGTGGTAGAGCGCTGGCCCTGAAGGAAGAGGCCATAGGCCCCAGTACTGGCACCAAAAAAAAAAAAAAAAAAATCCCTCTGATCAAAGGACACCCCCTCTTAGTTGAACTTGGCTTCGTCCCCTGTGGCTGGTCAGGGCGGGCCGGCCACTGAGTGACCGCGCCTTCTCCCTCTCCCCTCAGACCCGTGCCTCAATGGCGGCTCCTGTCAGGATGGCGTGGGCTCCTTCTCCTGCTCTTGCCTTCCGGGTTTCGCCGGCTCGCGCTGTGCCCGCGACGTGGATGAATGCCTGAGCAGCCCCTGCGGCCCGGGCACCTGCACGGACCACGTGGCCTCGTTCACCTGCACCTGTCCACCGGGCTTCGGAGGCTTCCACTGCGAGAGGGACCTGCCCGACTGCAGCCCCAGGTGGGCGGGGCCTGGCGGGAGCATCCGGGGCTCTGGCTGGGGGAGGGCGGCCAGGGGAGAGGAAAGGGATGGCCTGAGGTAGGCATGGGCTGTCTGTGTTGGGGTGACTGGAGACCTGGGCAGTGCCGAAGCACTTGGTAAACTGAGGTCAAAGGGCAGAGGTGGGACCTGGCCGGGCCTTGCAGCGTCTTGAAGTGGGTAAGTGAGAGGCTGGGATGGGGGCGCGAGGGCGTGGCCTCCAAGGGGGTGGAGCCTGACCCCACCGTCCTCTCTCAGCTCCTGCTTCAACGGAGGGACCTGTGTGGACGGTGTGAACTCGTTCAGCTGCCTGTGCCGCCCTGGCTACACGGGCGCCCACTGCCAGTTCGAGGCCGACCCCTGTCTCTCTCGGCCCTGTCTGCACCGCGGCATCTGCAGAGCCAGCCACCCCGGCTTTCACTGCACCTGCCGGGAGGGCTTCACCGGCAGCCAGTGCCAGGTGGGCGTGGCCGGTGGCCAAGGGGAGGGCTCGGGGGCGGGGCCTGTCCTGCCGATGGAGTGGCATTAGCGTCTGTGGGCGTGGCTCGCATCAGAGGGAGGAGTCTGGGGGCGGGGCCTACCCTGCCTGCTAAATAGTATCCGTGTCAGAGGGGGCGTGGCCAGTGTTCTGGGGGGAGGAGTCTGAAGGCGGGGCCTGGGAGGCTGTCCTGCCTACTGAGAGGCAGTATCCGATGGGCGTGGTTAGCATCCTGGGAGGAGGACTCTGTGGGCGGGGCCTGTCCTGCCTACTGAGCGGCAGTGTCCGATGGGTGTGGCCAACGTCCTGGGGGTGGAGTCTGGGGTGGAGTCTGGGGCTGAGCCCTGTCCCCCTCATTAAGGGTTAGTGTTGGGTAGGTGTGATCACACATTCTAGGGGAGGCGTCTGGGCGTGTCCTGGGGGCAGGGTCTGCCTGGCTTAGTGGTTTCCAGGGTCTCCTTTAGTATTGACCCTCGGGCCTTCCTTTGCAGACTCCAATAGACTGGTGCGGCCAGGGGCCCTGTCAGAACGGAGGCCGCTGCGTCCAGGCCGGGGCCTACTGCCTGTGTCCCCCGGGATGGAGCGGCCGCCTCTGTGACATCCGAAGTGTGCCTTGCAGGGAGGCCGCAGCCCAGATGGGTGCGTGGGGGGTGTGCGGGGTGGGGGGTTCAGGGAGGGTGCTCCCTGGTTGCCTGGTGTCTCCTGCCAGTGTGAGCTGAGTGAAGGGTACCCCAGAATATGATGGGTGTGAAGAGATCTGTGGGGCTGAGCTCGTGTGACTGTACGGCCAGCATGATGTCTGTCTCTGTGAAGTAGCTGGGGTGGTGGCGGTGGGTGTACGGGAGCTGCTATGAACACCAAGAGCTGGGTGTAGGTTGATGATAGAGAAGATGTCAGCCTGATGAGATGTGTGCCCGCCTGTGGAATGTGGGTGACACCCTGGGAACTGCATCCTGCAGGGGTGTTGTCCCGAGAAGAGGAAGGAAGGCTTCCTCTGCGTGCGTGTGTGTGAATGAGGTCACTTTGCTCTTCTCAGGGGTGCGGCCGGAGCAGCTGTGCGCCGCGGGAGGGCAGTGCGTGGACCAGGACAGCTCCCACTACTGCGTGTGTCCAGAGGGTCGCACGGGCAGCCACTGCGAGCAGGAGCTGGACCCCTGCTTGGCCCAGCCCTGCCAAAATGGAGGCACCTGCCGGGCCTACATGGGAGGCTATGTGTGCGAGGTAAGGGTGGGCCCTGGGGAGAAGAAAGCGGGGCTGGCAGGTCTTGTGGCTGTGTGTGGACACATTCTGTGAGGTATTAGGAATGGTACTCAGCCCCAAGGTGTAAGGGCTCAACCAAGAAGCCACGCCCCTGCGCACAAAGCCACGCCCACAAGCTACACCCCGGCGGGGCCACGCCCACAGCCCATGTGCCTGGATTTTTTATTTTGCTTTTTGGGCCTTGTGCTCTCTCTTGGCTTAGAAGCAGAAGCCTCACCTGGCTTTCTGGCTTTTTGCTGACTATTTGGAAATAAGAATCTGCTGGGGCTGGCTTTGAATTGAGATCCTCAGATAATAGCCTCCGAAGTGGCTAGGATTACAGGTGTGGGCCATCAAAGCCCAGCTAGCTGTGTCTGGATTCCCTCCCACATTTCCAGACATATCCCTATGTGCCCAGTGTCTCCTAGGGTCTGAATATATGCGTGTGGCAAAGTCTCAGGGGTGCCTGTCTCATTGTGTGTATCTGGGGAGGTGTAGGTGACTGTTTTCCTTCTGTGTTTGTACAAGGGTGCCCCTTGGCACTGGGTGTGTTGGTGGCTTTGTGGGTATGTTTCCTGGATGTGTCTGTACGTGTGTGTCCTGCGAGAGCTTGTCTCTGTGTGCTGATGTCTGTGTGTGTCCTTTTGTGCTGGGAGTGTGTGTGTGTGTCTGTGCTGCCCAGGGCTAAGTGTGTCCCTCTCGTCTCAACCCAGTGTCCAGCTGGCTATATGGGTGACAGCTGTGAGAGCAACGTGGATGAGTGTGCCTCTAGGCCCTGCCAGCATGGGGGCTCCTGCATCGACCTCGTGGCCCGATACCTCTGTTCCTGTCCCCCTGGGACTCTGGGTATGCCAAGGCAGTGCCCAGGGGACAGGATTGGGGGGGCTGAGTCACGTCCCCGGGCTGACTGGTCTCTCCCTGCTTCCCTTCCCCAGGGGTGCTCTGTGAGATTAATGAGGATGACTGCGGTCCAGGAGCACCCCTGGATTCTGGCACGCGCTGTCTACACAATGGCACCTGTGTGGACCTGGTGGGGGGCTTCCGCTGTAACTGCCCCCCGGGATACACGGGTCTCCACTGCGAGGCGGACATCAATGAGTGTCGGCCGGGGGTCTGCCACGCGGCTCACACCCGGGATTGCCTGCAAGACCCAGGAGGGCACTTCCGCTGCCTCTGCCATCCGGGCTTCACGGGTAAGCGTGGGAGGCGGGGCCATCTTGGGATCGCTGCTTGTCCTTCTTCCGTCATGGCTGACCCTCCCACCTGTCCTTGCTGGTCCAGGTCCTCGCTGTCAGACTGTCCTCTCCCCCTGTGAGGCCCAGCCCTGCCAGCATGGAGGCCAGTGTCGAGCCAGCCCAGCCCCTGGCGGTGGGCTGACCTTCACCTGCCACTGTGTCCAGGTAGGTGTGAGTGGCCTGGGTGGAGACCCCTGGGGCACTGGGGGGCGTGGCCTCAGGGAAGGGTGTGGCTTTAGGGGAGAAGTGAACAGGCAGGGGGTTTGCAGAGTAGGGTTGAGCTTGGAGGGTGTGGTCGGAGGGGCGTGGCCCAGATGGAGGCGTGGCCCAGCGGATGGGCGTGGCCTGATGCAAAAGTGCTCTGGTGAGAGGCGTGGTCTGATGAGAAGTCGCGATCCGGTTGGCTGGTCAGATGGGGGCGTGGTCTGGCGATGGGGCGTGGTTTATCAGAGAGGTGTGGTCTCGGGGGAGGCGTGGCTTGTTGGCAAAGTAGAGCCTCTGGAGGGACAGGAGAGGTGGGAGGTCTCCTGACCTCGCTCTTCTCCCCCCTCCCCGTCTCTCCCTTCCTTCCCTCTCGCTCCCCCCCCCACTTTCCCTCTCTTCCCGGCGCCCCGTCCTCCTCAGCCGTTCTGGGGTCCGCGATGCGAGCGGGTGGCGCGCTCCTGCCGGGAGCTGCAGTGTCCCACGGGCGTCCCGTGCCAGCTGACCGCGCGCGGGCCGCGCTGCGCCTGTCCCCCGGGGCTGCCGGGGTCCTCCTGCCGGGGCTCCCGGGCGGCGGCCTCACCCCCGGGAGCCGCCAACGCCACCTGCTCGGGCGCCGCGCCGTGTCTGCACGGGGGCTCGTGCCGCCCCGCGCACACGGCCCCCTTCTTCCGCTGCGCGTGCGCCCCGGGCTGGGCGGGGCCGCGTTGCGAGACCCCGACGGTGGTGGCGGCGGCGGCGTCGCCGGAGGCGCCCGAGGAGCCGCGGTGCCCGCGGGCCGCCTGCCAGGCCAAGCGCGGGGACGGGCGCTGCGACCGCGCGTGCAACAGCCCGGGCTGCGGCTGGGACGGCGGCGACTGCTCGCTGAGCGTGGGCGACCCCTGGCGGCAGTGCGAGGCGCTGCAGTGCTGGCGCCTCTTCAACAACAGCCGCTGCGACCCGGCCTGCAGCTCGCCCGCCTGTCTCTACGACAACTTCGACTGCCGCGGGGCGGGCCGCGAGCGCGCCTGCAAGTGAGCCCCGCCCCGGCCCCGCTCCGTGCCCCCCCCCCCCCCGCAGCCGAGCCCCGCACGACCTGCACAGCCACCTGCAGTTAAAATAAATCCTTAAAATGGCGTTGGTGCTGGGGCTCGAACTCAGGGCCGCGCATCTGCCGCACAGCGTAAGCCACAGCTCCACCCCAGCCCCGAGCTGGTGGCTCCCGCCTGTCATCCTGGCTCCTCTGGAGGCTGAGATCTGAGGATCGCAGCCCTGAGACTCTTACCTCCAAGAAACCGCCGGAAAACCAGACATGGAGCCGTGGCTTTGCGCAAACAAGCTCAGGGATAGCACCCAGGCCCCGAGTTCAAGCCCCATGAACACCACCACCGTCACCAAGAGTGTACCCCTAGAGCTTCCTTCCCTGGCCTGGCTTTGAACCGCGATCCTCAGCCTCCTGAATAGCTAGGATGATAAGCGTGAGCCACCGGCGCTGGATTTTTTTTTTAAACTTCTATTTTATGCTGCTCCCAGGGCTTGAACTCAGAGCCTGGGCATCGTCTTTGAGCTTGGTTTGCGCAAGGCTGGTGCTCTGCCACTTGAGCCACGGCCCCACTTCCAGTTTTTGATGGTTAATTGGAGACAGAGAGTCGCACAGACTTTCCTACCCAGGCTGGCTTCAAAGTACCATCCTCAGATCTCAGCCTCCCGGGTAGCTGGGATGTCAGGCGAGCGGCCCCCCCCCCCCACCCTCCCCTCCCCTGTGCAGGCGCTGTGTGGTCTGTGCACATTTGGGGGCGATCAGAGGCCCCCCTGACGCTGCTGTCCCCCTCCCCCCTAGCCCCGTGTATGAAAAATACTGTGCAGACCACTTCGCGGACGGCCGCTGCGACCAGGGCTGCAACACGGAGGAGTGCGGCTGGGACGGGCTGGACTGCGCCAGTGAGGTCCCCGCCCTGCTGGCCCGCGGCGTGCTGGTGCTCACCGTCCTGCTGCCCCCCGAAGAGCTGCTGCGCTCCGGCGCCGATTTCCTGCAGCGGCTCAGCGCCATCCTGCGGACCTCGCTGCGCTTCCGCCTGGACGCCCGCGGCCAGGCCATGGTGTTCCCTTACCACCGGCCCGGCCCTGGCGTCGAACCCCGAGCCCGGCGGGAGCTGGTCCCCGAGGTGATCGGGTGAGTGACTCCACCAGGACCTTCCTGAAGGAGGCTCTGGGTGAGGAGGTCAGGCCCAGGCACCTGTGACTTCGATCTTGTGATATAGATGGATGGACAGACAGACAGTCAGATAGATAGATGATTGTGTGTGTGTATGTGTGTGTGTGTGTGTGTGTGTGTGTGTTGGTCCTAGGGCTTGAACTTGGGGCCTGGGCATTGCCCTTTAGCTTTTCCCTTCAAAGTTAGTGCTCCACCACTTTGAGCCACAGCTCCATTTCCAGGTTGGTGGTTATTTCGAGATAAGAGTCTCATCATGCTTGCCTACTATATGTAAAGACTGGGGTTCAATTCCTCAGTACGACATACACAGAAAAAGCCAGAAGTGGCGCTGTGGCTCAAGTGGTAGAGCGCTAGCCTTGAGCAAAGGAAGCTCAGGGACAGTGCCCAGGCCCTGAGTTCAAGCCCCAGAAGGACTGGCAAATAAATAAAAGAGTCTCACAGATTTTCCTGCCTGGGCTGGCTTTGAACTGCGATCCTCAGATCTCAGCCTCCAGAGTGGCCAGGCTGACAGGTGTGGACCATAGGCACCCCAGCTTGGATCTCATTCCATTTTTTTTTCTTAACATCTCGGAGAACTGCCTTTGGCAATGCATCTCCTACAGGCTTCTCAGCCCATCAGCTTTTGGGAAAGAGACCATTTATTGCTGTGAGACAAAACTTTTGTCTCCCTGAACATGGGCAGCTTAGCAGCATTACCCATTAGAAGCTGGTGGCACCGCCCCCTCGTGGTGACTATGAAAAATGCCTCCAGAGAGAAACAAGTATCTCTTGGGTGGGTGGGTGGGTGTGGAGGGGCACCCCAAATCGAACCTGTCTGCTTCTGGGGAGGGGGACAATTTAGCAGAGTGGTTAAGGGCACTTAAGGGCAGGGTTTTTGTTGTTGTTTAATGAGTCTGGGTGCCTGTGGCCTATGACTGTGACCCTAGCTACTCAGGAGGCTGAGATCTGAAGATTGTGTGGTTCAAAGCCAGCCCTGGCAGGAAAGTAAGTCTAAGCCAAGTATTGGCACAACTCTCATGTGGCCCCACTGGTAGAGCGCTAGGCTTGGGTGAGAAAGCCATGTAAGAGGACGAGAACCTAGGTTCAAGCCCCAGTATGGGCACCAAACAAACAAATAAACAAAAGAACTGTCTGTCTGGTGGGTGGGTAGGTGAGTTGGAAGGCAGTGGGGGATGGTATTTGTGAAAGATGCAGCAGAGGCCTAAGGAGAAGGACAGAGCCCTGACACAGAAGCGGGGAGGGGCTGGATGTGGGTTGGGGGGACAGCTCTGGCTGGAAGCATCCAGGAATGGAAGGCCGAGAGGATGGCTTGCTTCCAGCCACAGTGATGATGACGGAGGGTGGGTTCCCGTCCCCAGCAAGAAACAAAAGCACATGGGTACAATTAACAATGAATGACGCGAGAATAAAAACAGACTGTGGGGGATAAATAGGATCAAAGTACTTTATATGCATGTCTGAAAGCAGAAAGATGAAACCTGTTAGTTGTGTTAGAAGGGGGGATGAGGAGGGGGAGGAGGGGGGAGAGGGACGGAGGGGTGTGCATTGTATGGAAACTGTACGCATGGAAATGTATGGAATCCCTCCCTCCTTGGACCACCAATGTGTGCTAATACAAAAAAATCTTAATGGGGAACCAAAGGGCCCACCCACAGAGCAGGGCAGCCGGGATTGGGTGTTTCAGCCCGGTGAAGGACCGTCCCAGGTCTCCACTGGGGTGGCCCCAGCGAGACCCGTCTGGGGGGCACGGTGGGTGGGTCAGGTGCCAGCCAGGCGGGCCGCGGAGGGGACCCGGCGGTGGGGACCTGGGGCGCGTGAGGCTGGGCCCCCGCGGAGCCCTGGGGTCCTCCCCTTCTCTTCCCGCAGCTCCGTCGTGATGCTGGAGATTGACAACCGGCTCTGCCTGCAGTCTCCCGAGAACGACCACTGCTTCCCCGATGCCCAGAGTGCCGCCGACTACCTGGGGGCCTTGTCAGCCGTGGAGCGCCTCGACTTCCCCTACCCGCTGCGGGATGTGCGAGGTGAGGCCCCGCCTCCGCTGCCTCGTGGTTGCGCAGGCCACTCAGTCCAGGCCACACCCCATGGTTAAGGCTACACCCCATTGTCGGGACCCCACCCACAGAGGAAGCCACGCCCCATAGCCAAAGCCATTCCCAGCGGCCGAGGCTAGTCCCACTTGCATCTGAAGCTCCACCTGCTGCTGAAGCCCCACCCACGACGGAAGCTCCGCCCTGTAGTGGAAGCCCCACCCACAGAGGAAACCCCGCCCATGGCTGAGGCTTGCTTCACCGTGGAAGCCCCACCCCCATGCCCGAGGCCCCACCCCACAGTGGAATCCCTGCCCATGGCCGAGGCCCCGCCCCACCGTGGAAGCCCCGCCCCATTCTAGAGGCCCTGCCCCAAGGCCCCGCCCCGCCGCCATGGAGGCCCCGCCCTCGGCTGAAGCCACGCCCACCCCACAGGGGAGCCGCTGGAGCCGCCCGCGCAGGGCGTGCCCACCATGCCCCTGCTGGCGGCCAGCGCCGTCTTCCTGCTCATCATCTTCGTCCTGGGCGTCATGGTGGCCCGGCGCAAGCGAGAGCACAGCACCCTGTGGTTCCCCGAGGGATTCGCGCTGCACAAGGACGTGGCAGCCGGCCACAAGGGCCGGCGGGAGCCCGTGGGACAAGATGCGCTGGGCATGAAGTGAGGACCTTTGACCCACCCTGGCCTTCGCTGGGGTTGGCCTTTGACCTTAACTTGACCTTCACTTCAGACTCCATCCTGGACCCCAGAGTCCAGCCTTCTGCTCAGGCCCTGTGCTCGCTGGGGGGCATCCCCACTTTCTGGCTTCTGACTATTCCCTGGGTCCCCATTTCCATACTTCATCCTCACCCGTGACCCATGACCCTCTGTGACCTCTGCCTCTAACCCAGTCTTACCTTTGACCTCTCACCTCTGAGGAACTTCCTGCTCGAATCAGGATTCCGGTCTTAGATTTATTTATGGTTATATTTATTTGTTTGTGCCAGTCCTGGAACTTGAACTCAGGGCTTGGGCCCTGAGCTTTTTCACTCAGGACTGGCGCTCTACCATTTGAGCCAGAGCTCCACTTCTGGTTTTTGAGTGGTTCATTGGAGATAAGAGTGTCAGGGGCTGGCTTCGAACTGCGACCCTTAGATCTCAGCCTCCTGAGTAGCTGGGAGACCTGCGTGAGCCAGACAACTTGTTCATGTCTTTCACCAGAATTGAGAGACATGTCTGCTTTCCCACCCTGCTGAAATTCATGTTGTTTTCTTCTTGGTGGGGTTTGAACTCAGGGCCTGGGCGCTGTCCCTGAGCTCTTTGTGCTGAAGGCTAGGGTTCTTGTTACTTTGAGCCACAACTCCACTTCCAGTTTTTGAGTGGGTAGTTGGAGATAAGAGTCTTCACTGCCTGGGCTGTCTTCGAACCCTAATCCTCAAATCTCCCTTGAATGCTAGGATAACAGGCGTGAGCCACCTGTTGACTGAAGATCCCCCCCATCTCCACTGCAGCCCCCTGACTTGCCTCTGTGACCTCTGCTCTGACTCCACCCCAAGTCCTTTCTGAAGGCGGGAGACTCCCCAGTGCCCTTTGTCACCCCCTTTTCTTCCTGTGCCCCTAGGAACATGGGCAAGGGCGAGAGTCTGATGGGGGAGGTGGCCACAGACTGGATGGACACAGAGTGCCCGGAGGCCAAGCGACTGAAGGTGCCACGCAGCCCTCCCCTCCCCCTCCCTGCCCTCCCTTCCCCTCTCTCCCCTCCCCTCCTCCTCCCCTCCCCCTCCCTCCCCTCCCTCCCCTCCCTTCCCCCTCCCTCCCCTCCTTGGCTCTTTTCCTTTCAGGGTACTGGGACACCCCCTCCTTCCCCCCTGCACCCCAGAGGAGCTTGGCTCTCCTTGCCCAAGCTCCAGGGAACTGTATAGGGGGTTTTGTGACCCCCCATGTGTTCTCCAGGTGGTTCTGTGGCTGCGGAGGAGGCGAGGAGATGGGCTGGGGGGAGCCCGCTGGGCTTGGTGGCTTGGGTGCACGTTCCTCTGGCCAGTCCTTCCTGGGTCTTCCCAGTGGGGGACACCCCCCCCCCCACCGCCCAGACAATTCTAGTTCATTTGCTGCTGCTGCTGCTGTAACAAAGAACCTGCGGCTGGGTAGTGTAAGGAGGGAAGAGGTTCTTTTTGCTTCAAGGGTGTGTATGTGTGTGTGCGTGTGTGCACATGCGTGTTGGTGCCCCTGCCAGGGCCTGGCAGCCCCGTGTGCGTGTGTGCGTGTGTGCCCCTTCTCCCTCGGCCTGCGGTGTTGAGCCCGGCCCTCCCTGTGCTTGCAGGTGGAGGAGGCCGGCGCCGGGGCCGAGGAGCCCGTGGACTGCCGCCAGTGGACGCAGCACCACCTGGTGGCCGCCGACATCCGCGTGGCCCCGGCCATGGCGCTGACGCCGCCGCAGGGCGACGCGGAGGCCGACGCCATGGACGTGAACGTGCGGGGCCCAGGTCAGCGCCCAGAGCCCGCGGGGACCCCGGAATCTCCAGGCCGAGCGCTGCTCGGACCTAGACTAGAGGTTCCGCTCTCCGCCTCCTCCTCTTCTCCCTCCCCCTCTTTCTCCTGGGGTCTGAGCTCGGCACTTGGCGCTGCCTTTGAGCTTTTTCACTCTGTTACTTGAGCCACAGCTCCACTTCCATCGTGTAGTTACTCCTGGTATTCCTATGTGTCCTATTTGCACACGCACGTGCGTGCTCTGGTCCTGGAGCTTGAACTCAGGGCCTAGGTGGCACTGTCCCCAAGCTTTTCCCGCTCAGAGGCTGGTGCTCTACCACGTGAGCCACAGCTCATGTCTGGCTTTTTGGCCCATTGGTGATAATTAGCCTGCAGACTTTTCTGCCTGGGCTGGCCTTGAATCACAATCCTCCTCAGACCTCAGCCTCCCCAGTAGCTGGGGTGACAGGTGTGAGACACCGGTGCCCGGCAGCCCATTTGGCCTCAATGGCGTGCCCCTGGCCTCGGGCCCCGGGGACGCCGCGATGGCTCGGTGACGGCCTCCCGTCCCCACAGACGGCTTCACCCCTCTCATGCTGGCCTCCTTCTGCGGAGGGGCCCTGGAGCAGATCCCAGCCGAGGAGGAGGAGGTGGACGACTCCTCCGCCAGCATCCTCTCAGACCTCATCTGCCAAGGGGCCCAGCTTGGGGCTCGGACTGACCGCACGGGCGAGACCGCCCTGCACCTGGCCGCGCGCTACGCCCGGGCCGACGCCGCCAAGCGGCTGCTGGACGCCGGGGCGGACACCAACGCCCAGGACCACTCGGGCCGCACCCCGCTGCACACGGCCGTGACCGCCGACGCGCAGGGCGTCTTCCAGGTGAGCCCGGATCGCCGCTGGACACCGGGGCTGCAGTGGACATCAGACACCCCGGATTCAGATCCAGTCTCGCTCTTTCTTTTTGTCAGTCATGGGGCTTGAACTCCGGGCCTGGGCGCTGTCTCTCAGCTCTTCAGCTCAAGGCGAGCGCTCTACCACTTGAGCCACAGCGCCAATTCCGGTTTTCTGGTGGTTTATTGGAGATAAGCGTTTCACGGACTTTGCTGCCCAGGCTGGCTTTGAACCGCGATCCTCAGATCTCAGCCTCCTGAGTAGCTAGGATGACAGGCGTGAGCCACCAGCACCTGGCTTCTGGCTTTTTTTTAGTGATTCATTGGAGATAAGAGTCTCACAGAGGGGCTGGGAAGGTGGCTCAGTGGTAGAGCACTTGCCTTGCATGCTTGAGGCCCTGGGTTCGATTCCTCAGCACCACATAAGAAAAAAGCTGGAAGTGGTGCTGTGGCTCAAGTGGTAGAGCACTCACCTTGAGCTGAAGAGCTGAGGGATGGTGCCCAGGCCCAGAGTTCAAGCCCCAGGACCATCTCCCCTGCCCCCCCCCCATCCATTTTGATTTGGGGTGTTTTTAGCTTGAGATGGAATTAGTAGTATGCTACCCCGTTGTAAGTCACAGGGAAGCTGTGGCTCATGAATCGGTCGGGAGTCCCAGGAGGTGTCAGGGGTCTGCTGATCCCTCTGTTCCTGGTGTGACTTTCCCTGTTGTGTCCTCCCACCCTCTTTCTAGATCCTCATCCGGAATCGCTCCACAGACCTGGACGCCCGCATGGCGGACGGCTCCACCAGCCTGATCCTGGCAGCCCGCCTGGCGGTGGAGGGTATGGTAGAGGAGCTGATCGCGTGCCACGCCGACGTGAACGCCGTGGACGAGCTGGGTAGGCTGACCGGAAGCCGTGGGTAGGGGCCGGGAGCCGGGAAGGGTCTCCTGGACACCCACGGTAGAGCTGGGCACCCATGCCTGCCTCAGGAGGCTGAGGCCCGAGGATCCTCATTTGAGGCCAGCCCTGGGCAGGGAAGCCTGTGGGAGACTTACTTCCAATTGACCACGGAAAAGTGGAGCTGTGGCTCAAGTGGGTAGAGAGCTAGCCTTGATTGAACAAGCTGAGGGACAGCGCCAGGGCCCTGAGTTCAAGCCACACACACACACACACACACACACACACAGTGGCTTCCTTCTGACAGTTCATTTCCAGCTGCTTGGGACAAGGCTTAAGGCCTGGTTGGCGGTGGGTTTCTACCCCTGTCCCCGGACTGCAGGCTTTACTGGAAGAAATCCACTCTACTGCCACCTGCTGGGCAGCTGTAATAAATATCTGCAACTGGATCCAATCTGTAATCTGTAAGGGTTTATGGGAGCCTGGCTTTTCGCCGATTCACACACGACACACCACAGTCCTTGGCCATTTTAAAAAAATTAATTAATCAGTTTATTAAAACAATAACTGGTAGTTATTTATTATTTTATAACTAGCCTTATTTTATAAGTAATCATTAATACTCAGTTATTGTTGTTACTACCATTACATATATTTTTTATTTTTATTTATTTATTTTGTCAGTTGTGGGTCTTGAACTCTGGGCCTGGGCGCTGTCCCTCAGCTCTTCAGCTCATGGCAAACGCTCTACCCCTTGAGCCACAGCGCCACTTCCGGTTTTCTGGTGGTTCATTGGAGATAAGAGTGTCACGGACTTTCCTTTGACCCTCCATCCTCAGATCTCAGCCTCCTGAGGAGCTGGGAAAGCAGGCGTGCACCATGGGTGCCTGGTGAAGTTAGTAAGCGGGAATAGGAATACTGATTCATACACCAAGCACAGGGGCTCAGCTGTGCTCAGCTGGCCGGCCTCCCAAGCTGTTTGGCAGACACTAACTGCCCCCCCCATACTGGGGGGGGGTGCTGGGGGTGTGAGCTGGGCTCTGGCCTGGACCCTGACTCTTCCCCCCTCTCTCCAGGGAAGTCAGCCCTGCACTGGGCTGCAGCTGTGAACAATGTGGAGGCCGCCTTGGCTCTGCTCAAGAACGGCGCTAATAAGGACATGCAGGACAGCAAGGTGAGCCCTCAGCCCCTCCCCTCCCGCACGGGTATGGCGGGGGGGGGGGGGCACAGGTGACAGAACAGGGTGGGGGAAAGCTAGTGGGGCATTCACTCTGCCCACATCCAGCTTTTAGGGCTGGGATTTGGGGCCAGGAGGCTCTAAGAATGGGGCAGATGAAGAAGTGTGTAGCAGCTGCTGTGTGAGCTTGGGGAAACTGTTTAACTTCTCTGAACCTCTGTTCTTATCTCCAAAGTAGGGAAGTAAGGATACGCCCCCTCCACCACCTTCATTTCATTTCATTTCTTTTTTTTGGGGGGGGCTGAACTCTGGGCCTGGGCACTGTCCCTCAGCTCTTCAGTTCAAGGCGAGCGCTCTACCACTTGAGCCACAGCGCGATTTCCAACTTTTTCTGCTTATGTGGTGCTGAGGAATCGAACCCAGGGCCTCATGCATGCAAGGCAAGCGCTCTACCACTGAGCCACCTTCCCAGCCCCTATATAGGGCTTTTTAAAAGTAAGATTAAAACAAAATCCATAGTAATAAAATATTGTACTTTTAAATAAGGACAGAATTCTGGCCTGCCCTTCTCTGACTCTTACTTTTCCTACTTATAAAATAAAATTAAGGGCTGAGAAGATGGCTCAGTGGTAGAGTGCTTGCCTCACATGCATGAAGCTCTGGATTCGATTCCTCAGCACCACATACATAGAAAAAGCCAGAAGTAGCACTGTGGCTCAAGTGGTGCCTTGAGCACAGAGAGGCTCAGGGACAGTGCCCAGGCCTTGAGTTCAAGCCCCAGGACCAGCACAAAACGTAAAAATATAAATCTGTGCCTAAAGTGAGTTTTGGTCCACTGTGTTGGATCTTTCTTTTTTCTTCCTTTTTTCCCTCCCTCCCTCCCTCCCTCCCTTCCTTCCTTCCTTCTTTTTGTCGGTTGTGGGGCTTGAACTCTGGGCCTGGGCACTGTCCCTCAGCTCTTCAGCTCAAGGCGAGCGCTCTACCACTTGAGCCACAGCACCACTTCCAGTTTCCTAAGTGGGTTTATTGGAGATCAGAGACTCACGGACTTCCGTGCCTGGGCTGGCTTTGATCCTCGACCCTCAGATCTCAGCCTCCTGAATAGCTAAGATGACAGGCCAGAGCCACTGGCGCCTGGCCCTGTTGGATCTTTCTGAAGGAAAGAGCGTGTCCGTCAGGTCCTGCAGCAGAGCGGGGATGTGACCGCTCTGACCTTGGCCAGGGTGGCATTGACATGTGTGGGTGTGCCCCCCTCCCCCGTCCCCAGGAGGAGACCCCGCTGTTCCTGGCGGCCAGGGAGGGCAGCTATGAGGTGGTCAAGCTGTTGCTGGATCATTTTGCCAACCGGGAGATCACAGACCACATGGACAGGCTGCCCAGGGACGTGGCCCACGAGCGACTGCACCAGGACATCGTGGGCCTCCTGGACCAGCCCAGCGGGCCCCGCAGCCCCCCGGGGCCCCATGGCCTGGGACCCCTGCTCTGTCCCCCCGGGGCCTTCCTCCCCGGCCTGAAGGCCACACCGTCGGGGGCCAAGAAGAGCCGCAGGCCTCTGGGGAAGGCCGGGCTGGGCCCGCAGGGCGCTCGCGGACGGGGCAAGAAGCTGAGCCTGGCCTGCCCGGGCCCCCTGGCCGACAGCTCCGTCACGCTGTCCCCCGTGGACTCTCTGGACTCCCCTCGGCCCTTCGGGGGGACCCCTGCCTCCCCTGGAGGCTTTTCCCTGGAGGCTCCCTACGGGGCGGCCACGGCCACCGCCGTGTCCTTGACGCAGCTTGGGGGTGCAGGCAGGGCGGGGGCTCTGGGGCGCCAGCCCCCCGGGAGCTGCGTGCTCAGCCTGGGTCTGTTGAACCCCGTGGCGGTCCCCCTCGACTGGGCCCGGCTGCCCCCACCTGCGCCCCCGGGGTCCTCCTTCCTGCTGCCCCTGGCTCCAGGACCCCAGCTGCTCAACCCGGGGACCCCGGTCTCGCCCCAAGAGCGGCCCCCTCCCTACCTGGCCCCTCCGGGGCACGGAGAGGAATACCCGGCCGCGGGGACCGGCGGTAGCCCCGCGAAGGGTCGCTTTCTCCGGGTCCCCAATGAGCATCCTTACCTGACTCCGTCCCCCGAGTCTCCCGAGCACTGGGCCAGCCCGTCACCCCCCTCCCTGTCCGACTGGTCCGAGTCCACGCCCAGCCCCGCCACCCGCCGCCCCCCCTGCCCAGCCGCACCCCCTGTCTGTCCCTGTCCCCCTGACTCAGGCCCAGACCCAGCTGGGACCCCAGCCTGAAGTCACCCCCAAGAGGCAGGTGCTGGCCTGAAGGAAGAGCTCCTTGCTTTAGATCTCGGATCTGGAGACGACCCCCCCCCCCCACCCGTCACCTCGCTCCACATCTCTGTCTCTGTCTGTCTGTCTGTCTCCCTCTCTCTCCATGAAGTGTTCTTCAATCCTTGGACCTTGGATCTGAAGAGACACTCCAACTCCACATCTGTCTGTCTGTCTGTCTCTTTCTTTCTGTCTCTTCCTGAAGTGTTTAATTCTTGGACCTTGGATCTGAAGAGATACCCCATCCTGACATTCTCTGTCTCTGTCTCCCTCTTTCCTCTCCCTCTCTGTTCACCAGCCTTTTGCACCAGCCCAGACTTAGTCTTCCTTTATTTATAATGTGGGGGCTGACACCCACCTTCTCAATCTTGTAACCAGTCTGGGACCTTCTCTTCCCTCCCGTATCCCTTGCCAGCCTTCTCTTTTCTCTCTCCCACTCTGACACCTGTGGATTATTATTCTTTATTCTTTCCTTTTCTGCTTCTTCCTCCTCTCTTCTTTTTACATTTTTTTTGTATAGAAACGAAATTCATTTAAACAAACTTATTATTTTTTACTATACATATATATGGAGACGCTCCCCCCGCCCCCCGTGCCCCGTGGGGCTGAGTCTGTGGACCTATTTGGGCCCAGCTGGATTCTGTGTACTGAGTACACGGCCCTGGCATGGACTAAGCACCCAGCCCGCCCTCGGGCGCACCCTCTGGGGCTTGGGTTGGGGGAGACGCGGGAGCCTCCCCCCCACCCCGTGGCGCCGTGGCGGGCCACCCCCTCCGGGCACCGAGCGGGGATCGGGTCGGTTCACTTCTTGGCTGTGACTCAGGCTTCCTGAGGTGCCCGTCGTGGGCTGCTGTGGAATGGCCTCCCACCCACCCCGCTAGCCGGGCTCCGGCCTGGCGTTGTACAGCCCGCGCCCTGCGCCTAATAAAGGAACAGTCTGCGCCCCGCGCTCAGCCCGCGCCCCGCACTCAGCCCGCGCCCCGCAGCGCCCCGCGCTCAGCCCGCGCCCCGCACTCAGCCCGCGCCCCGCAGCGCCCCGCGCTCAGCCCGTGTCCCGCAGCGCCCCGCGCTCAGCCCGCGCCCCGCACTCAGCCCGACCCCCCCGCAGCGCCCCGCGCTCAGCCCGTGTCCCGCAGCGCCCCGCGCTCAGCCCGCGCCCCGCACTCAACCCGACCCCCCGCAGCGCCCCGCGCTCAGCCCGCGCCCCGCACTCAGCCCGTGTCCCGCAGCGCCCCGCGCTCAGCCCGCGCCCCGCGCTCAGCCCACGCCCCGCACTCAGCCCGCGCCCCACAGCGCCCCGCGCTCAGCCCGCGCCCCGCACTCAGCCCGCGCCCCGCAGCGCCCCGCGCTCAGCCCGCGCCCCGCAGAGCCCCGCAGCGCCCCGCGCTCAGCCCGAGCCCCGCAGCGCCCCGCGCTCAGCCCGCGCCCCGCAGCGCCCCGCGCTCAGCCCGCGCCCCGCAGAGCCCCGCAGCGCCCCGCGCTCAGCCCGAGCCCCGCAGCGCCCCGCAGCGCCCCGCAGCGCCCCGCGCTCAGCCCGGCCCCCCGCAGCGCCCCGCGCTCAGCCCGCGCTCAGCCCGGCCCCCCGCAGCGCCCCGCGCTCAGCCCGTGCCCCGCAGCGCCCCCCGCACTCAGCCTGCGCCCCGCAGCGCCCCCCGCACTCAGCCCGCGCCCCGCAGCGCCCCCCGCGCTCAGCCCGCGCCCCGCAGCGCCCCGCGCTCAGCCCGCGCCCCGCAGCGCCCCCCGCGCTCAGCCCGCGCCCCGCAGCGCCCCGCGCTCAGCCCGCGCCCCGCAGCGCCCCCCGCGCTCAGCCCGCGCCCCGCAGCGACCCGCTGCCGCGTCGGAGATAAACCCGCGGGCGGCCCTGGGATTGGTCCGCAGGGTGGTCACCTGACACAAGAGGAGCCAATCGGGTGCTTGTGGTTTGGGAAGGTTGATTGGTGAAGAGGGGCGGTCACGTGCCACCAAAGGAGCCAATTGGATTCATGGGCTTTGATGGGCGGGGCTTTGAGGAGTTCGATTGGGTCAGAGCAGCGGTCACCTGACCCAAGAGGAGCCAATCAGTCCCTTGGCTTGGGCGGTCCTTTCCCCCTGTTTTGGGTGCTAGGCCTGGAGTTTGAACTCGGGCTGAGGCTCTGCCCTGAAGTCAGGGGCTCCACCGCTTGAGCCACAGCGTCACCTCCACTCCCACGTTTTGCTGGTTTATCAGAGATGAGAGGCTTATAGATGTTCCTGCCCAGGACTGGCTTTGAACCTGGATCCTCAGATCTCAGCCAGGATTACAGTGTGAGCCACCGATGCCCAGCTCAGTATTTCCTTCCTTCCTCCCTTCCTCCCTCCCTCCCTCCCTCCCTTCCTTCCTTCCTTCCTTCCTTCCTTCCTTCCTTCCTTCCTTCCTTCCTTCCTTCCTTCCTTCCTCCCTCCCTTCCTTCCTTCCTCCCTCCCTCCCTATTTTGCCAGTTCTGGAGCTTGAACTCAGGACCTGGGCACTGTCCCTGAGCTTTTGCTCAAGGCTAGCACTCTACCATTTGAACCATAACACCACTTCCGGCCTTTTCTGTGTATGTGGTGCTGAGGAATCGAACCCAGGGCTTCTTGCATGCAAGGCTAGCACTCTACCATTTGAACCATAACACCACTTCCGGCCTTTTCTGTGTATGTGGTGCTGAGGAATCGAACCCAGGGCTTCTTGCATGCTAGGCAAGCATTCTGCTACTAATTCACATTCCCAGCCTCTCAATATTTATTTTAAATAAAGATGAGTTATCTAAAGGAGTTTCAGTTCAACATTTCCGCTTATGAGTATAATGCATCTTGATCAGTGTCACCCACCCTCTATCATTCTTTCCCATCATGCCTCGTTACCTGTTTCCATTCTCACACTGACATAACGGCTATATTTACCCTTCCTTTCTCCGTTTGTCTAGATCTTATTTTTTAATCCAATTAGCCAGTTTGTGTCTTTCAATTACAGAGTTAAGTACATTTACATTTAAGGTAATTGTTGAGAAGTATTTTACTAAGTCCTATTTTTCCCCCCTGGGTAGTTCTAGTCCTGTTTTCTCTTATTTATCTTGAGAGTTTGCTAGATTCCTGAGCCAAAGAAGTTTTCTTTTTTCCTCCCATATTTCCCTCTATTTCTTTTTTTTTGGGGGGGGGGGTCCGGTTGTGGGGCCTGAACTCTGGGCTCTTCAGCTCAAGGCTAGCGCTCTACCACTTGAGCCACAGAAGCACTTCCGGCTTTTTTCTTTTTGCTTATGTGGTGCTGAGGAATTGAACCCAGGGCCTCAGGCATGCAACGCAAGCACTCTACCACTGAGCCAACTTCCCAGCCCTCCTTCTATTTCTTTTAAGATTTTTTTTTTCATTTTTGGAGCTCCTGTGTGTGTGACTGTCTTTCCTTACTCTTCTCTCTGTACGACTCCTCTAAGTATTGTCTATAACGCTAGTTTCCTGAATAGCTTTACTTTGTGCTTTTCATGGAAAATCCTTATTTTTCCATTAACTTGAAAGGATAATTTTGCTGGGTATAATAATTTTGGTTGGCAGCTTTTTACTCTCAGGGCTTAAAAACATATCATTTTAAGGCTGGGTGCTGGCGGTTCACACCTGTAATCCTAGCTATTCAGAAGGCTGAGATCTGAGGATCATGGTTCTAAGCCAGGCTGAGCAGGAGAGTCCATTAAACTCATCTCCACTTTACCAAAAAGGCCAGAAGTGGAGCTGTGGATCAGGGATAGAGTACTAAACCCAAACAAAAGAAGCCCACAAACAATGCCCAAGCCTCATAACCCCCATATATAATTATAATTATATATATGATTAAATATAATAATTTTTTTTTTTTGTCGGTCATGGGGTTTAAACTCTGGGCCTGAACACTGCCCTCAGCTCTTCAGCTCAAGGTGAGTGCTCTACCACTTGATCCACATAACCATTTCCAGTTTTCTGGTGGTTTGTTGCAGATAAGTGTCTTATGGACTTTCCTTTTTGGGCTGGCTTTGAACCATGATCCTCAGATCTCAACCTCCTGAATAGCTGGGATTACAGGCACCCAGCCTGATTAAACATTATATATATTATATATGGATTTTAGGGTTTTTGCTGAGATATCTGATGTAATTTGATGGTTTGCCTTTGTAAATAAGTGAGCAAAACTTTATATTGATAATGGACAAAGGAACATACAGGCATTGTGATAAGTAGTGAAAAAAATTATTTGATAAAGCCCAAAACACATCCGTGGTGAAGAACTTAACAGAATAGAGGAACAAATAATGACTCTTTGGGTTGGTTGTGTGACTTGAATTCAGGGCCTGGGTGCTGTCCCTGAGCTATTTTGCTCAAGGTTAGTGCTCTACCACTTTGAATTATAGCCCCACTTCCAGTTTTTAGGTAGGTAAATGGAGATAAGAGTTTCAGGGATTTTCCCACCCCAGCTGGCTTCAAATTGTAATCCTCAGATCTCAGCCTCCTGAGTAGCTGGGATGACAGGTGTGAGCCATCAATGTCTGGTGACTTTTTTTTTTAATTGCAGGGACTGGGGCTTGAGCTCACTTGAGCTTGGCTTTTTTTTTTTTTTTTTTGTTAAACATGGGGCTTGAACTCTGGGCCTGGACGCTGTCCCTCAGTTCTTTAGCTCAAGGTGAGTGCTCTACCATCTGAGCCACAGTGCTACTTCCAGTTTTCTGCTAGTTCATGGGAGAAAGGAGTCTCATGGACTTTCCTGCCTGAGCTGGCTTTGAACTGTGATCCTCAGATCTCAGCCTCCTCCTGAGTAGTTAGGATGACCTACATGAGCCACCTGTGCCCAGCTTGTTGCTTGGCTTTTTTACTCTAGGCTGGTGCTCTGCCAGTTGCTAGTTAATTGGAACTGAGAGGCTGGCCCTGAACTTGGATCCTCAGATCTCAGCCTCCTGAGTAGCCGGGATTTAATGCGTGAGCCATCAGTGCGCAACTTTCCTCCTCCTTCCTTTTCTTTCTCTCTTTTGTTATTTC